GCGCAGAGGGCAGAGCAGGCCCGCGGCCACCCCCTGCTGCGGAGGTGGCCGGGAACGCAGCGGCTCCTGGCACCGCTCCCCTGCGATGACTAACAGGCGCTTCCCCGAAACCCTGTGTCTCGCTGTGGGTGAGGAGCGGGGCCCTTAATGCGCTCCGTTTGGCCCTGGCAGGGAGCAAATGGTGCCAGAGCAGCGGGAAGCGGGATCTGGCACCTCTGAGGCCAGGAGGCCGCTCCGGTGTCTGCGGGACATTTGGTCGGCTGCAGGAGCGCCCTGGGGAAGGGAGGGAGCGAGGCTGTAAAGCAAGGTGATGCGGTGCTGCGGCCGGGTGAGCTTAGGACCCCTGTGCCCAGCCAACGCGCTGCCATCGCGGCCGCGTTCCCCCAGCTGGACATGGCAGTGCAGCCGTTCTGGGGTGGGAACTGGAGGGAAAAAGCTCATCTGGATGCCAAATTTGGCCGGATCTGGTGAAAACACTTGAGGAAAACATGCCGTGACCGAGAAGCAGCGGGCTCTGCTCCGAGACCCTGTCGTGCTTCCTCGCACCTCTCGCGGGCACGGGGCACACGACAGCAGGGAGGGCACTGGCTGTGAGCATGGGGCAGAACAGCCTGGCGGGACTTGCACTTGGCATTTTTTTGGTGGCGAGGCAACGTCTGAGATGCCCGTGAACAGGATGGATACCCATCCCCAGAACAGGGAGGGCATGGCTAGGGCTGGGAAAGAGGATCCTGGTGGCCAACACTCAGCCTCGTCACCCGTTTCTCACTCTTTCAGCCCCCCTTATTGCCCCAGCTGTGGTGGCCCTGGGGAACATGTCCTCATACAGGGTGAGTGGAAGGATGTGTGGTGAGTCCCGGTGGGATCCCAGCTTGGAGCGCCCTCCTCCTGGTTACGTCTCCCCTGGGCTGCATCCCGCGTGGGGCCAAGCCCCTTGAGCCCTTCGCCACCCATGGGAGCCCGGGAATTGCACCCACTGCCCTGGCATGGGACGCGACCAGGGGGACATCCTTGCGAGCTGCTCTGCGCTTGCTGCTGGCGACTGAAGGGAGAGCTCGGGCAGGGAGACAGCCATGGAAATGTCCCTCACTGGCAGGTGGGGGCCGGACGCCGCTTGGGAGCAGAGCCAGGAAGGAAAGGGAGGAGGGGGGAAATAGCGATTTGTGAGCAGCGCGTTTCAGCCCCAGCGTGTTTCTGGATGGTGACTAGAGCTGAGCTCGGTGCATTGCTGCATTCCCGGCT